ATATAGCAATTCAAGTTCAACGAGGTCTATTTAGAGAGAATTTCCTAGCAGATGTGTCGACGTCTGTATGTCGTCAACAACTGACTGTCAAAGCAAATAAAGTTCAATTGAATAATGTGTAAACAATATTTATCGTCCGTTTTACAATTGAACTGGATGAATTATAAATAATACATACTCTAATAATAAATAAGTAAAATAAGGGCTACATTAAAGAATAAATTACATAAAGCTTTTGAAAAATATTTTTCTTAAAATAAAGTCTTTAATTTAAGAAAAATGAATTTAACTGAATTGTCTTTGCCCTGCAGCTTTAAATTCTGTTCATTCAGGTGTGAAGTGATGTTAATCAAAAAAAGCCACGATAATTTATTTTTCTCATCTGCTCAATTTCAAAGAGAAATGTGTGTGCAGGGACTTTTATCTGTGGTTATTAAAACCACTTGTTTCAGCTCTAGTCCTCTGTTATTGTTGGACAGTGAATCCATGTGGTAGGATTCTGATCATGTTGGGCTCTTACATTCATTTTCTGTGCATTCATTTTGGCTTTGAATGGTACGTTTGCTCAAAAGATGTGTGCTTTGTCTCGTAGTGGCTCTTCACATTACCGCTTTTAATAATCATCACGGTGTCTGAACATGTGAGACCTACTGGTTTTGAACTGCCCGTAGGAATGTTGTAATTCTCAATTATCTATCGGTTTTAGTTCCAGGGTCCAGATACAAAGGTGTCTGGATCCGGACTCGGACCGCGGTGTGACTGAAATCAGAAGTGGTTGAGTCTGTTTGTAGTGAAAGAAGCCTGGTAGGGTGCAGCTTTCTCTCACACAGTCCATCAAAGAGGGATTGACCCAAAATGGCAACAGTGTGGCCAGAGACCACATCCCCTGGCTCAGTGGCTGGCAAGAATTGATTAGCTTTGGGAATTTTGTTGCTGTTATTTTCCGCTACCCAAGGTTGACTGTAGTTCATAGTCTGAAGACAAAAACAAAGAAAACTCCCCACTCATCTGACGTTTACCATTTTCATTTGGCATTGTAATATGCGTACATTGTTTTGTTCATTTTCTTTTCGTATCCTTCAGTGGTGACAAACTGACTGCACCTCTGAGCCTTTCCCAATGTGCATGTATAAAGCTTTTTTTTCCCCGAGAGTATTTGGTCTATTTGTAACACTCCCAATTTACACACGTGCACAAATGCAAAGCGCAC